GAGAACACACGAAGATGTCAGTGTTTGATCATCGGTGTCTCCGCAGCATTGGTCGGGTCTGGTGGGAATATCGGACTGGTAGTGTTGAGGTACGCCAGATGGTCTTAGGAAGAAGGAACCTTTCCGCGATAGATTTATTACTTACGCTTCATAGGTTACGCTGGTTGGGTCATGTACTCCACATGCCAGAAGATCGTCTGCCTTGCAGAGCTCTTTTCACGCAGCCCTGTGCTGAATGGAAGCGACAATGTATGACCTGGCATCGAAGTACGAAAAAACTAGCCAGTAAACTGAGTCGGGTGAGCAACTGCCGCCTCCCTGGATGGGGAATCCGGTACTCAAATACCAGTGGTTGTTGACATTGGCGGAAAAGGCCCAATCCCACAGTCAGTGGCGCTCGTGCATCAAACCCATAGCCTACAATGCGTAGCTACCCAATTTCCGAACAAACTGAACATTCCTTTGCCTCCAAGGCTAGGTCTTGTATTCCACTATCCCGTTTTCCGGTGATCGGAACTGTAGCAGCTGGAACCAGTGTGCCTATGGCACACGGTTTATAGCTGATAAATTGATCGATTGATTGACTGATTTCTCCTAAAATGACTTGATCGATTTTTCATAATGAAGATCGTTTGGAGACCTTCTTTCTTTGTGAAAACTTTACGAGTGAACAGCATTTCAGTTGCCCCATAAAGAAGTTGCAGTGTGCGTATTGTGTGGTAAACTTCGTCGCGAAAGGCCCCAACGGTAAAAAAAGGTTTTTGGACTCTTCCAGGTTTTGCATGCTAGATTTTGCCTGACTGAGAGAGCTATCCGTACTATCCACAGGATTTTTTTCTGTGGCGATCTATCTGATCTGTCTGTGGTAAGAGACAAATGTGTCATGATTGACAAGGCAACAACCAAGGATGGTGTTGACATCTAATCAAGCAGCTCGTATTTTCACATTTCATTTTCGCTCACTTGATGCGTATCTCATGCTACGCGAGGATTAGCTATATCGGAACAGTGATCCTATTTTTACATTTCAGCCTCCTTCTAAGACTCCGAGCGGTTGAAATTCCAAAAAGGAGGACGAAACGGATCCAACCGAGAGCCTGGTCAGTTCGAGACCCGCACATCAGGCACTTTGACACCCTTAGTACTGTGAACTCACCAGCATTAGTACGTATATGTAAATGAGAGTGTTACATACACTATGCATGTATAGTGAGAAGAATAAAACACTAATCAACAAAGTCTCGTGAATTATTCATTCGCTAACCTGCTTTTTTTCTAATCTAACTAAAAGCTGGTATATTGGTGACCTTACATCGACCGCAGGCGCACAGCTCTGTCAGGTCAGATTCAGGTGTTTCCAGCCTGTGTGGACCGGTTGCACGGTCAAGAAGCCGTGCAAAATGAGTTTATGATGGTTGGTGGTTATGGCCCACCGGCATACTTGCATCCTCGGCAGCATAATATCACCTCCAAACACTCAGACAATCTTGATAAAAACTGATAGCAACAATGTCATCAACATCGACTAGCGGTCATACCTTCATGGGACATCCACAGCGGAAGCTTGAAACAGCATCCGAAAATCGATTTTTGGATGTAAACTAATCGTCAGTGGAATCAACTCTGGTACGTTATCGTTTTCCCTAAGTTTTTAGTGACTATCGGTAAACGTGAGGCTATGGAAAGAAACAACGGAACGCTTACATTTAGGGTATTGAAAGGAATACCTCAAGTTAGGTTCCATGGATGGTCTCAATCCTAGGTGACTTGGCGTACCACCAGAGCCCAATATCCCACAGAAACTGATAGTATACGAATGCATTTGGACAAAACTGACAGAAGGCTAGATACCATTGACTCGTTGTTGTCACAAACGGATTGGGTTTTGTAGAAAAAAACGTTACACACTTCATGCCTCATACAGTACTGCTCGGTCCACAAAGGTCGATCGATGCTTTCACGTGATATTTTTGGAGGCAAAAGGTTAGCTGTCGATCGCTCCTGCCAAAGTATGTGGGTATAGTCTAGTGACCTTGGAACTGGACGTATCGACCAAGCTGAATGGATCTGGAGATTCTTACTGATCGAAGGAGATCGTTGCCCGTCCACATCTTCTGCATGACCGCATGTGCTCAGCCATTCTTTTCCAGATTATTCTCGGGTCGTCCGATCCCAATTTTCTGTCATTCCCGAAGGTTCGATTCATCTCGCGGGAACCCCGTACACCATTCTTCTCATTTTCCTTGAGTGTTCCACCATACCCTTTTGTGATTGGCACACTGCCTGAGTGACGCTGTACTTCTTGGGACAAATCGACCCTTATCTGTTCCAAGTCGTCTAGTAATCATGCGAAGAAAATGTTCGCTGTCTGAGCAAATATGGAATCTTCCAGCTTCGTAGAGCTGCAGAGCCTAGAGTATTCACTAGAACACTGAAATCAGCTTTTTTTAATTTTAGGTTGCAAGGCCCCATATTCTCCGTAATCCGAGCCAGAATTGGGTGACTTTTTTTGGGAAGAGAGCCTGTTCTAGGCTCTCTGTTTCTTAGTTGTACATTGACACTGTTAACTCGTGTTAAACAACAAAGTGTTGACTAATTCACTGTGATTCACTTTGTAAAATCAATTTTGTGTAATGAGAACGATAGTTTATTGTGCGCAACACCCACGTGGGAATGCAAACAAACACGACACAATCTCCCCTTTCAGGCAATGCACCCAAATATTTGTAGGTTGGATGCGTTTACTGGTAGTTGGTCAGCTTGTCGGTTCGTAAAGCTTGGCAATTAGCTTGGAAACGTATCATCCCCGATATCAACGGTGTTTCTCCTTACTTGTTAGCATTCATGTGGTTTTCAAACGGTATCAGAGATCTGATGATGTGGACCTTTCTAGTAGTCTTGTTGGCCTGTTTGAAAACGGTGTTGCGTTTTGGCTGATCGTTCGATTGATTCGTTAATTGGCTTATTTTCTTTTGGCTCCTGTTTTGATTGGTCCGTTGCTGATTTGCGTTGCGTTGTGGTCCTTCCTCCTTGGATTCATCTGGTTATTATGGTGATGTATATTTTAATGTTCTTTTTCGGTTGGTTGTTTCGTTCTTGTTTGGTGTTGGGCAGTTTGATGCCATTTCCCTTCTTGTGCTGGCAGTTTCTTAGTGCCTTCCCGGTTAATCATATGCCTTTAGTGAACTCTTCCCTATTATATATTTTATTCGGTTCTACAATTTAAGGACTGGTTGCATGTTCAGGTCAGAAGGGTTAGGATTCACCCGATTATTCCATCGGCGTTTACTCTGTTTTTTTGCGGTTGTGGAATTCTTCTATCCTTAGTGATTGGTAGATGGGGTCTGTTTAGTTATATGTGTTGATGGCTTTCTCAATGAAGTACCATTCTTCCATGAATTCATGTTCGCTCTTAGTGTTTGTTTGGGTAGGCACTTGAACGCTATTTCGGTGGAATTTATGTTCATCCTGTATGAAGACAACTGTTTCTCTTCCGCAAGTCTGTGTTCATACAATTTTGTGGAAGGCTTCCTTCCTGTTTGTCCCACGTTCTGCTTATTTCGATCGTTTGCACTGAACCTTGTGTGTGCTACTGATCCTTGTCAGCGTAAACGACTTTCTTTTTGGTTTTACTTAAGCTTTTCGCAGGTTCGTTTATTGTCATTATGCTGTGCTGCGGCGAGGCTCATTCGGCCAGTCCAAAAATGTCCTTGGTGCGTGGAAGTGCGATACGTTTGCCTTTGTACTTTTCAGGTGATTGGGTTGGGTTTTCTGAAGGTTCGGCAGATGGAATTTCCGGTGCGAGCGTCCCACCGTTGGACATTGTAGTGTCCCACTGAGCCTCAATCCGCTTGAAAAGGGTCCGAATAAAGCTTTGTCTGTGATATTCAAATCTGAGGAGGAAAGACTAATGCGTAACACAACTCGGGAATGGATGAATCATAACAGGGATAAAGACCATCCAACAAGTCAGTCGAACAGGGGAAATACAAGTCACAATACATTTTAGATTGCACGCGCACCAGTAAGATTACACCAATTAGCCAATCACTGTTTGAAAACTATATAGATGCAAGCAAGTTACGATGAAATACCTAGTCAATTGCGCACTGATGGTGTCCCCCTGATTGGTGACATGACATTTGCAAGCTAGTTTCCAGATTCGATGGACCTGTCTATGACCATGTAGTCAGACATCAACCTCCTGTTCTTATCGACCAGCAGTAATGGGTCGTATTATATGTGCAGTTTGGCACTTCAAATTAAATTTCAACAAACCATTCACTGAACGCTATGCAGCTCAAACTCTTCGACCTTCAAAGTAGTATGTTACGTCTATATAATTTATTGCAATATCGCGAATGCCGTACCAACTAGACCGTGAGGCGGCCTAATGCAGCACAGTGAGTGGAATAGGTACATGATAAATGATAAATTCACTTTGGATCCACGTGTTAAAAACAAATCGGTATGCAAATGAGTGTGTTTGTCAAATTATAAGTGATTTAATTTTCTAAGTCTACAACGATACTTCTGATAACCTTTACTCCCAGCTAGGGAGGTTACTTCCAACATTCTCGAACTTGTCCCCGGGACAAAACAGGAGGGTGAGCCTGTTCTGTAAGACGGTAAATTGGCTTCCACTTCAATTTACTGTCTCCCTTCATCTCTGAATATAGAAATCAATCGGCCGTTAGACAGGTATTTTCCTTTAAGGTGCTCTAGTATTCAAAACGGTAGAATCGATTGCCTGATACTGCTTCAGAAGCGTTAAAATAGGACGAGGCATTGTTAATCGTTTTCGCGACACATCTCTGCAAACACGAGTGTGGGTTTACAGCTCGCCCGACTTGTGAACCACAATAGTTCACCTAAACAACAAAGTAGACGACGTCTTATCGAACTGTATGAGTAGCTCCAGACAGTCGTGTGAGAATGCACCGATTCGGTAGGACAAGCAACAGCTAGCTACTGCTACGTCGCCAAGCAGTTGGATGGGCCTAGACGGTACCCAGGAAGGTCCCGTGCATGAACGCTAAACTGCTAGCAGTAACCCGATCCACCGTTTAGAACCGGTATAAGCTGTGCTCAAACTGAATTGTGGCACATATTTTTCGCAGCTGACTGGTCAAACTGAACAGTTAAGTAAGTGCACCATATTCTATCAACAATATTAAGACAAACCAAGGAAAAATAATACGAGTTTTTACTACGGATGAAGCAATATGAAGGAAAGTGATTGCATAGTTACCACAATGCTCTTGGTAAAGAATGGAATTTGAGTCCTATCCACTCATGATCAGCACCATCATCTGTGAGAACCGCCTACTTGTCCTACAGTGGTTCTAGCTGCCACAGTTTCGTTCACCAATCATTCGCGGAGGTCGGGTAGAGAGTGGTGCACTGGAGGCAGTACCTGGTATAATTGACGCGCACGTTAGAAGGGTGTTTGGACTTTTCATTGGGGAGATTGGGAGTTATGCGTTGAAAGCATTTTCTTGAATGCACGAGTGCCATTGAGGGCGCCAATGGGCCATCTTGGGGTTCTCATCCAGGAAGACAGTAATGACCAGCGCAGCTGAGTTTGCTTGTAATAACTTTTATACTTCGCTACCAAGTCATTGTTTGACCTCCTCTGACTCGTTTCCACCTTTCACGTTGTTGTGCAAAAAGAACCCTTTGAGGAACTCAGTCGACTGGCCAAACCAACGCAATCTATCCAATGTGATCAGTTCAGCTATCGTGGGTGAGTTATTCCTTCCGAATACCATTCGACGTACTTCAGTACTACTGATCCGGGGTTCTAACCAGATTCGGGCAATGCGTCGAACACAGTGATGATCAAACTTCGAGTCTTTTGACATCCTCGGCGTTCAGTAGCCAGGTTTCCTACCCGTATAAGAATACGGAGCGCACCGCAGCATCGTAAAACCGACCTTGACGGATAAGCTGATGACACACCTGCGACACCGGTGGTGCTGTCCACTAAGTGGAACTGTCTGAAAAGACAGCTGTGAATTATTGGACACAGTGAATTTCATGTGGCTCATCAACTTAAACTGGACAGTGTGAATAAGTGAACTGAGAAGTACAGAAGAACTTAACTAGCCAAGAGCGCCGCGCTTCGGGTATGACCAAGGTAACAATGAAGGGTACAAGCTTCCACTTCAATTTACTGTCTCCCTTCATCTCTGAATATAGAAATCAATCGGCCGTTAGACAGGTATTTTCCTTTAAGGTGCTCTAGTATTCAAAACGGTAGAATCGATTGCCTGATACTGCCTCAGAAGCGTTAAAATAGGACGAGGCATTGTTAATCGTTTTCGCGACACATCTCTGCAAACACGAGTGTGGGTTTACAGCTCGCCCGACTTGTGAACCACAATAGTTCACCTAAACAACAAAGTAGACGACGTCTTATCGAACTGTATGAGTAGCTCCAGACAGTCGTGTGAGAATGCACCGATTCGGTAGGACAAGCAACAGCTAGCTACTGCTACGTCGCCAAGCAGTTGGATGGGCCTAGACGGTACCCAGGAAGGTCCCGTGCATGAACGCTAAACTGCTAGCAGTAACCCGATCCACCGTTTAGAACGGGTATAAGCTGTGCTCAAACTGAATTGTGGCACATATTTTTCGCAACTGCCTGGTCAAACTGAACAGTTAAGTAAGTGCACCATATTCTATCAACAATATTAAGACAAACCAAGGAAAAATAATACGAGTTTTATTACGGATGCATTTTTCGCAGCTGACTGGTCAAACTGAACAGTTAAGTAAGTGCACCATATTCTATCAACAATATTAAGACAAACCAAGGAAAAATAATACGAGTTTTTATTACGGATGAGGCAATATGAAGGAAAGTGATTGCATAGTTACGACAATGCTCTTGGTAAAGAATGGAATTTGAGTCCTATCCACTCATGATCAGCACCATCATCTGTGAGAACCGCCTACTTGTCCTACAGTGGTTCTAGCTGCCACAGTTTCGTTCACCAATCATTCGCGGAGGTCGGGTAGAGAGTGGTGCACTGGAGGCAGTACCTGGTATAATTGACGCGCACGTTAGAAGGGTGTTTGGACTTTTCATTGGGGAGATTGGGAGTTATGCGTTGAAAGCATTTTCTTGAATGCACGAGTGCCATTGAGGGCGCCAATGGGCCATCTTGGGGTTCTCATCCAGGAAGACAGTAATGACCAGCGCAGCTGAGTTTGCTTGTAATAACTTTTATACTTCGCTGCCAAGCCATTGTTTGACCTCCTCTGACTCGTTTCCACCTTTCACGTTGTTGTGCAAAAAGAGCCCTTTGAGGAACTCAGTCGACTGGCCAAACCAACGCAACCTATCCAATGTGATCAGTTCAGCTATCGTGGGTGAGTTATTCCTTCCGAATACCATTCGACGTACTTCAGTACTACTGATCCGGGGTTCTAACCAGATTCGGGCAATGCGTCGAACACAGTGATGATCAAACTTCGAGTCTTTTGACATCCTCGGCGTTCAGTAGCCAGGTTTCCTACCCGTATAAGAATACGGAGCGCACCGCAGCATTGTAAAACCGACCTTAACGCATAAGCTGATGGCACACCTGCGACACCGGTGGTGCTGTCCACTAAGTGGAACTGTCTGAAAAGACAGCTGTGAATTATTGGACACAGTGAATTTCATGTGGCTCATCAACTTAAACTGGACAGTGTGAATAAGTGAACTGAGAATTACAGAACTTAACTAGCCAAGAGCGCCGCGCTCCGGGTATGACCAAGGTAACAATGAAGGGTACAATAAACTACAAGTCTGTGCAAAGAGTGCGCCACAGTCTCTTAAACCATCTCTATACTTGGCATTAAAGGGGGGTCCTTCGACTATAACAACCTATCGGTGCCCAGCTGCCATGCTATCCGAAGGAAGCACAAGGACTGGGGTACTGTTACGCTGGCCAAACCTAGACAGGGGAACTCGAAAGGCAGAGGTGGGATTCGAATCACAGACGTTCCGGTCAGCTAATTCGCACTCTAACCACTTGCGCCATCCCCATCAGTTGGCCTTGGTATCTTCTACGCCTTTCTATTGAACTTAGCCTAAACGTGAAGCACAGAATCGTGCTGGAACATGTGGTCGCTAGAGCATTCGCCAATTTGGTGACAGAACAACCGTTCACGGTTTCCGTCCATAGTCGGGGATGGGAAGGAACTACTTCCATTGAGGAAATGACGGTTCCTAGTGAAAATATAAAAAAATGGGAGGTAGGACTGAACCAATTGCAGGAGAGTTCCGTTATACTGTTCGATCGATACTATGTGATAAATCATAGTGAAATCCCTTCTACTGTTTGAAACTGCAAACGAGGAATTTAACTATTTCGATTGTGGCCATCCTTTACTGCATCTGACATAAGGAACGGAACAGAATCCACGCATCCGTGTGAGTAAGAATCAACCGTGAACGGATTAACTAATCAATCCAACATCTAGATCAATGAAGTGATGCACACGCCGACTGGGTCGATGCGGTACCCGCAACCCACTATCAAGTTTCAGTAAAATGAGGTATAAGAGCAGTAGGCTGTGCTGACGATAACCCCTTTGATTCCGCCCACTCATTCAAAACGATCGAAACGCCATCTTTCCAATTCTCGACAGAAAGACGATACCGTACAGATTTAATCAGGTGTCCGACGGAGGCAGCCTCAGAATACGTAGGTCATGTCAATCGTTCATAACATGTCTGGCTTACACTGATCATCAAAAGCGTGTACTTTGGTTCACACGTGAAAGTGCGCAGTATTTTACAAGACATTCATTAAGCACCCAAGTCACAAATTATTTCCCTATGGAATGCTGTGAAAATGAAATCGCCGTAAATATGTCCGCACGTTTTTACGCGAGCTTTTAATCCATAAAATTTGAGTTACAGGGACGTAACACAGTAAGGCGTCGAACTGGTTAACTTAATCTCTAATGGTCTGGTCTAGCTACACTTTGTTCGGAACCATATCAGTGAAGTGCCATTTTTCTTAAACGATTAACCTAGTTTTCAACAATAGATTCAGAGTGTAGATCCCCAAACCTTGCAGTGCCTGGCTGTCTTAAACCTGAATTGCAATGTGGAAAGTGCCTTTGTGGAGTGAGTTCCTGATTGCCATGAAACGAGAGTACATTATTGAGTTTACAACACTGCACGCGCACGCCATGCGAGAATCGATTCTCAAAACACTAGCACACAAATGACCTACAACTAACGGATGACAATCGAGCGACTTTTACCAGGTAAATGCGTCCAGAAACGATTAAATCTAGCAAACAACAAGACGGTTTACTGTTGTTCAACTTTTGGCAGGAATAAGAGTCAACCTATACAAAAATGGGGCTTGAGTAAGCAGAATATATTGAACCTGTGAAAAAGCCTGTCGTTCTACAAGCCGCGCAACATGCGTTCCTTGTGTTGGAGTAGGATCGGGTGTAGAAGAGCAGGTGAACTGCTTTAACACAAAGTCGCGTCCGCGTAAGGGGAGCAGAACAGTTGCCATAATCCCAGCTAGATTAAAGAACCAAGATGACTGCCAGGCAATCCTACCTCGCGAGAAGCCGCGTCAACATGGTGCTCTGATGCGTTTTGACGTTGACAGTGCTGCGCTGATACAGGAGCAGTAACCATGATACGTCACTCCCCAACACCAGGTTACTGCCAGATAGTGATCTGATCACCCTAGACCGTCTATAAGCAGCTGAACGGAGAAAAAACGCTCAGCTGTAACACCGTTCCGGTGCCTCGCCGCCATGCTACCCGAAGGAAGCACGAGGGCTGGGATACTGCCAGGTTGCCCAAGCCTAAACAGGTGAAGTCGAGAAGCGGAGGTCGGGTTCAAATCATGAACCTTCCGGTTAGTAGATTCGCGCTCTAACCACTTAAGCCATCTCGCTGAGTGGAGAAAGGTATGCGCGAAAGATACGCTTTTGTCTAAAAAGCCTAACCAGCTACATCGACGGAAATCATCATCAAGTCCACAGTACTTCGTATAAAAAACATCGAAACAGCAAAGGCAAACCAAATTTATTAAGAAATCTATCCCTGTAGCTGACCAGTCAATGAAATATTAACGAAAAATAGCCTGAAAAAGTGTCAAACCGTGATCAAAACAGCTAGATCCAAACAGTTTCTCTCGGACAATAAAAATGAATGATATGCAGAGAGAGAGAAGGCACTTAAAGGAATGGAAGAACGGAATGATGACCGAAATCCGACCCGTGCACACAGTTGAGAAAAACAGATAAAACAAAGTCATTCGTCGTTTAGCATGTCGTCTCCGGAATCATTTGTTTGTTCAGCTGCGACCTCTTTCAAAGCTGCTGCCTCACTGACGTTACTTTCGTCGATTTCCGTGCGGCAGAAGTCCGGTTCCTTGAGAATATCGTTCATATCGAGCGGGGGACTTAGGCCGGACTGCTGGTTCGTGTACCGCCATGGCATGAAGTCCGGATCATGCTGGTCTTTCCACGCAGGATAGTTCAAAGCGGCTCGGTGAAGAGACCTCATAATACTCGGCGCGAGGGATTTCGTACCAAGATTGATAGCCCAAGCTGGAATGATACCTAGACGTGCAAGTTAAAATGCAGAAAGTGAATGTGGTGAAGACTGTAATTCGAATGGAGGCGAGATGGCTCATCATCGTAATTATCATTAGCGTTCACACTGATGCCTCACTACCAATACGAGATGGCTCATTTACTAACCGGAAGGTCCGTGGTTCGAACCCAACCTCTGCACCTCGATTTCTCGTGTCTAGTCTTGAGCAACTTGGCGGCATCCCAGACCTCGTCCTTCCTTTGGGTGGCACGGCATTTAGGCACCGAAAGGGTGCTACAGCTGAACGATTGGTGATTGGATTGTAATAGGTTAACAGCCGAACAGCCAATCAACAGGGTTCTTCTACGAATTTGAGAGTCCCAGTCGTCCCTCACCAGTCACCTTAACCTGGAGGGCTGATAGGCTAATAAGAATAAATAATCGTTCAGCTGTGACACCATTTCGCTGTCTACCTGTCATACAATTCGGGGGAAGCATGAGTGGTGAGATATTGCCAGGTCGCCCAAGCCAAGACAGGATCAAAGGAGTTGCTGAGGTGAAAACTCGTGAAAACCAAATTCGTCCGCAAAAGAGTGCTCTTACCGAATTTTGTGCAATTTGGGTTCAAGTAGAACATAAGGTTGAAGGGAACTGGGGGAGTTCGTCTATCTGACACGCCCGAAAAAGGAGTCAGGCCGGTTGAGGGCTGCCGATTAGTTTTCAGCAACTTTATGAGTTATGTTACGCCTATAGAAAGGTTAATGGTTCCGTGGACACCCAATCAGATTTTACAAAAGCAGATACATTTAAAGGTGCGATAAAACTAAGTTACCCAGACCGAGGCTAAGTACTTGGTCATGACCGGCCACGTAACTGACCCCAACACAACTTTGCAACCATTTCACGATCATAATCGAGCGACCCAAAGATTCGCCGAAGCTCGAGAAACACTCATTTGCAAGCAATTTGGTTTTCACGAGAAACCCAAGAAGGGCTGTCGAAGAGTTTTCAGCAACCTTTTGAGTAGTCTCGTTTATGAAGCTCTTTATTCAGAAGCAGGATTTTGTACGCGTCATGAATTTTTCAGGTTCTATGAAAATTTGACGCTTGCCGTTACATGCGAGCAATGACGGAACTAATCGAAACATCGCATATCGCAAAAATCATCTTTTATCTGTGTCCAATAGATGAACCGAGTCGATGTTTCGTCACCTTGAACAAGGACGTTACGAGTCAAAATCGCTCGAACGTTTTGGTGTTACTGCAATATGTATGTATAAAGCTCCAGCCACTCATTGCCGGCTTAACTCCATATGCGCAAGGCTATCATGATCTTACGTCGCAACAGACGAGCGATCACTCTGTTGATGGGTGAATGACAGCACTTCTGATAATGCATGAATCAGTGTGTGGCCCCTTCGTGAAGAGGTCACAGCGGTGGAGCCTGCTTTTGGGGATAACCACACAGAAAATAGTACCTACCCTGAAGCGCACAACAAGCTGGATATAGAACTGAAATGCTCCTGTTGAAAAATGTGGCGTTTACACTGACATTTAGAAGGAATTATCCTAATGAAATGTATACCAAAAATTGTCCATGCAGCTTAGAAAAAGCAGAAAAGACCGGGTTTTATCACTCAATTCAGAGCAGTGTTGAACGTTGTATTATTCCAATGATAATTCCTAGCGGGTCCTTCCGCAACCCAGACCAGCCGTTGGTGAAGACGCGTGGTTGTCAGCGATTTACGAACCTGGTCAGTCACCGTTGACTTATCTTTGTTTAGTTGGCATACGGTGCAAGTGCGGATGCACTACGGAGGCTTACTCCGAGCAAACAAGTAAATTGATATTGATTGAGGTGGAGGATGACTGGATGAATTTTCATCACGACACAAGGGCGTAGATCATCCCAAATTAGGTGCTTCATGCATCATAATGCATCATAATCATAAGGCCAACCGGGCAAACTGAACCATCATTTCGAAGGCCGGAATAACGACACAAGGTGATCATAGACATTCATTATGGCAAGCGAATTCATACTGCTCAGCTTACTGAACTTTGTCCTACCATCCCTCCCCACCAAAAAAGTACTGGGCAAAGACAAATGAGGGCCAGCGTGCAGTTCACGCTGAGATGAATGGTCGGTAGAGATAGTGAGAGAGAAAATAATATCAGCTGGGTCAGTAGCAACGGTCAACATTCTGTTGTGTATGCACAACACTTGCTAATATGTTACCAACGTAATACACTGTGTATCCGGAACCGACGAGTGACGATCGTATTTATACGGTACATCACAGAAAGCTACTCATAGAGGCCTATCTTCCTGATCGGGAAGCGCCGATATCTCGTTTAGGAGCCGAGATAGTCAAATTAAGCCCGTATCCCACCAGACGGTCGTACAGAGGGCTAGCCGCCGTGATATGTGATAAACCCCACGGTCCATCTTATCTGCCTCGAAGAGACTGGACGTTACCATGGTGTGACGACTCCTTAACCTACTAAACTGTACTGGGGTTGACCACGCAATACCCTCAGCCCCTTATACCAGGTTTATCACTGGTTGGTGGTCCGACCAAGGCAGTCTCCTGTTCCTTCAGGTTATGAAGCTGCAACATGTACGGTGGCTTGTCCTTTAAAAAGAGTAGTGCAGTAGCATCTCCTGTCAAACATTGCTGCCTTGTGGTCAGGCTTTCGAGTCAAGCGATTTGATCTGCCTGGCGATATGACAGCCCACACAAAATCATGATTCCCACAACTCATGTCACATCAGACGTTGCGTGGTGTTATCAACCTGGTCGCCTTATTTACGGCATACAGCAACGACGGCGACCGAAAGCAGGCTACTTGTAACGCCTCTCTTCTCTCATATTTCATGAGCTTGTTCTCCAACCCCCAAAACACATTAATAGCTCCGTCCATGTTGGGCCACCCGTCACTCCGTTTGCTTAGAAACGGTCTCAGTCAAGACATCTACTGGTCAGCTGGAGCTGACAGCATCAGGTATCTCGAAACCAGTTTTCAAGCGTCGACACAGTCTATTGAACTAATTTTAATGTCTAGACTCTAAAGCAAGCAAAAAACAAACGGTATTTGACCACATACCGGATTCGTTTGAAACTGGTGTGCTGTTGTAACACCCATGTCAGCCGGTGGAAGCACAAGGCCTGAGATACCACCTGGTTGCCCAAGCTTAGACAGGAGCAGTTAAAATACACGGGTTGGGTTCGAGCCATGGACCTCCGGAAAAAAGACCTGCGCCTTAACCACTGAGCTATCTCATGTACCGCTATATTGCGGGAGATTTGTGCACCAAATCACCCTACACAAGCATTCCCCTAACTACTGACATCAGTCTATCATCTCACCAGACGGTTTAATCCACAGACAACTAAGCTTTAACCGGATGTTGTACTGTTCAATCAGGATGGAGTGTGCGAGTGGATAAAATTCACTTTCATACGTCGTGTATCCACAGCTGCGCTTAAGTTAAGAAGAGTACGGGCGATAAATCCACTATGTGCTCATGCCATAACAACGACAGACAATGACAAGTAATGTAACAATCACGGGCTAAGCAATTCTCCGAGTGCGTGGAACACCCGCAAGGACGGAGCCTCCGTTGTTCTACAGTCGATTCAGTGCAACTTTTACCGGGTACAGAACGATCAGTTGTAGTCGCTAGACCAGCACCTCGCCCTAACAGATGGCTTTTAAAACAAAGAACTTCTTTGTGGATTCTATGACAGCGGTTCAATCCAGGAGAGACCAAATGATCTCTTCTCCGATGGTCGTGGTTTGTGTTTAGGGGGGAACGAATTTAACTGAATTTGGGTGTATATGCCTTTTCAACCAATATCCACATTCATTTTGATGTATTGGCGCGCTTTCGTGGAATCGATTTATCATCCAGTAAATGGGGACCATCCAGAAAAATCACCGGGAAACCCACCTCGAGGATCATTCTGGGTGATATAATAGAAGTCACATGAGCGCGGTCCTGTTCTCCTTATCAGATAACCAGTGAGGAAGCAAATCCCTCGGATGTATTCTTTCTTTGGAGGGGCTTTCTAGAAGGTCAGAAATCATCAGGGAATTCTGTCCGTAGAAGAAATACTTTGTGAAACACGGAGCGATTGAGAATAATAAACTCGTCGCCGGAAATTCGCCATATACGATTCATCACAAAGTCGCGGTTGGCAAACGCGAAAGGGGCTTTGACTAAGAAAGGAGGGAAACACGGGATTAAAGGGAAAAAGGTGTAAGTTACTGGCATGGTAATCAATCACACTGTTTGGGCTGATCCGGCAAATTTCATGTCCTTCTTTCATCGTCTTATCCCAAGATCCACGGTAAATCGAATCATGCAGGGTATCATACATCACGTCGGCTGAAACATCTGGTAAAGAGGCAATAACCTGATTTCCAAAGGTGACAGAATTCTGGTAAGGAAACGACCATCTACCTTGATCATTTTGAAGCTAGAAACGCTTGTGGACCGCGTGAAGACTTGCACCTTCTTTTTGCTATGATGTTTCTTCCACTGGCTTGTGTCCAGAACCATGGACTTGAAGTATTCAAAATCGTCGTCTGTGGGGAGTCTGACTTCACCGAGCTCAAAGAACGGCATGCTGACACAGCGGTTTTAGTAGGGAAATAATCGCGGGCTATACACAGGGGAGGGACTCCTGGTGAAATGTGGTGATTACAAGCACCTGAAATGCAAAAAACGTATCTTTGATATTAAAGCATTGTTTTCCGTCTTCTATTTATAAAACGAGTATATAAGTTTGTGCACAAATAACCAGAATAATTTATAACACCGTTTGGATAGAACGGAATCTTCTGGTTCATGATGAACATCTTGTGAACTGTAGTGCCACGCATGTTTTATGGACCTGATAGTTCACAGATAAGGCGGCAAAGAACAGACAATTAGGACCAGTGAAACCTCTGAGATATGACTCACAATGGACTGGATTAATACGAGCAATTACCGGCGGAAGTTGGTGAACATTTTCGCAATTCCTGTGTGTAGGAACCTCAAAAACTGTGGATCCCATTCATACCACCAGACGAATTACTTTCTGGTAGAATCGATTCAGTTCAGTGTTTCAGCTCAAAAACCATGTGGTGATTTCAGCCGCTGCAGCTTCTTTCACTAAGAATAAGGAGAATCGTTCAGCTGTAGCGCCCTTGCGGTGCCTAGCTGCCATGCCACCCGAAGGAAGCACGAGGGCTGGGAAAAAAAATCGTTCAGCTGTAGCGCCCTTTCGGTGCCTAGCTGCCATGCCACCCGAAGGAAGCACGAGGGCTGGGATACTGTCAGGTTGCCCAAGCCTAGACAGGGGAAGTCGAGTGGCGGAGGTCGGGTTCGAACCACGGACCTTCCGGTCAGTAAATTCGCGCTCTAACCACTTGAGAATACATGATTGAGGTCCACGTGTTGGAGGCGATGACAATCTGCGCGTTTACGACAAATGGATCTGCTTGTCCAGCATGGTAGGAAATAAAAGCTACGCCGTTAAGTCCTCACCAGAAACTCATCCTGACATAGTGATAAGGTGTGAGTGATGCAGTGCGATTGCGGGATGCAGGAAGCCATAACTTCAATGTTCAACCACGTCGTAAGGGGAATCAGTTAGACCGGGTGAAGTAGGCTTCCAAAGAGCGAATCGATCTGAGAGAAAAGGTTTACGGTTTCCCGTTATTTGAGTGTGGTTGTTTCCTCGGGGCACTCAGCATGTCTATACTTACGAAATCGGTGGAACTGCTCTTTCTTGACAAGGGATGAGTCCGGCCTTCAAAACCGAACAGGCCTACCACCCCATAGTGAAATTTGCACACAAAACACAAAGCCCGGCGACAGCCGCACTCATTTCGCGATGACATAAAGTTACCTGTGTTTTGTGAATATTCCGGAATGGGAAAAGGTGCTTTATTCGGTAAGCAGCAGTTGGACATGTGCAGTACACTTCCAAACGGCTCCAGTCTGATTCACTTCATTTCCAGCTCTGGTGATTCGGACTCACTACCAAGTACGAACATCCTGCAGACAGCTAACGAGCGCTATACTGCAGAAGCGCTGATAACCAGACGCGTGAAGAAGTCTATGATCCTTGGATCAAAGATGTGCAACCTGTAAGGTAAATCTTACGATAGAGCCCTTTAGCTTCGCTGGAATTCGTCT